ACCTCTTTTCAATAGGGGCCAGATTAGCGTGCAGTGGTGCTGTGTGGCTCATCGCTGCGGTGGTGGAGAGCTTTTGTCCCCGGTGGTAATCCGCTTGCTCTCAATGCGCCAAACCCTGGTATACGGTTTCAAAACAATGCTGGATTATCACCACTTTTGAGAGTGAAAAATGCTGGTAATGCCCAGCAGCCTGGTCTTTTATTCAGAGTACGGTCTTTTGTTACAGGGCCCTGTTTCCTTTGTCCGAGTTCGGAGACCCCGGCCACGCATATAAACCATACGGCTCCGATTTCGGAGTCACGGCAGGTAGTGGTTAACAGCAGTCTGGTGAATTTGGGGACTTTTGGAGTGTAAACTGCTTAAACGTGTGGGTTTTATTTCAACCGTCATGATCAGCTGTTTTGTGCTCTGCCATGTGTTGTTCTGTGCTACTAAATATAGAGTTAGGAGGATTCAAAATGGCTGCCTCTGTTTCTCTAACTTTACTCACTATTGGTTTAAAGTCTTTATTCAATCATTTTTATATTTAGACTGTAGAAATGGCACCTTTAGGAGTAGAAAATTTTGTTTATTTTATCTCTCCTAACTGAAGTCTTTAGATTGAGTTTTGATGGGCAGGTATTTTTGTAAATAATTATTTCCCAAAGTTTTGGGACAGACCGTCTGCTCCCTTGGTAGACTGCTCATGAATATTAATGACCTGACATCACTGCACTTTGCACAGTCAAAGTAGGGCGTGTTTACATTCATTCATGATTCTTTGACTCAAGTTTCTGAGGAATTTAGGGGATTTTCCAGTATGGTCTTTGTTGTATTAAATGGAAAGAGTAAGAGTTAAGGATTAATGTTGCTTCAGTTGATGAATACATGAGTTAAATTAGTGTTTTTTCGAGTGGATGAAAATTCTTCTGTGAATAGCAATTTCATTGAGTAAAACCTTATGGGCGTGGTTTATTTACGACGTGTACACTCAGCTCGGCGTATGGCGTGCTATTCAAGAGTATAAAAAGGCCAGATTCTCTGTGAGTTGGGTTGGCTGTTTAGATGTTAGGGTTGACTTGTGCTGCTGATCACTGGTTAAAAGAGGAGCTGAGGAGCAGGCAAAGGAGCCGAGTATTTAGGCGTAATTAACTCTGAATCAGGACTGGATCTTGTAAGGGAGAAATTAGTTGGGTACCAAGTAGAAGACCAGGGACTGAGAGTTTGATTGAGGAGCAGTTCTGTTTGAGGAGCAGTTCTGTTTGAGGAGCAGTTTTGAGGAGCAGAGGAAGAGAGGAGAAGAGGCTGAGGAGCTCGTAGATCTAGGCCTATTTCAAGCACACTGTAAGTTATTTGGATTTTGGAAAGAGGAGCCAGACGAAAATAAACATAATCTTATGAATTATCTCCAGTATAATTGGTGGTCAGGATATTCAAGAAACTACTGGTAGACCCGTCAGAGGCCTTGGATAAAGTCTTCTGGCATTAAGAGAGGTCTGGAGTTGCCTCGTGATATTTATTTAAGATTTAAGAGAGGCACAGGACTTGCCTAGTGATACTTATTTTAGATTTATTAGAGGCATAGAAGTTGCCTAGTGATATTTATTTAAGGTTTAAGAGAGGCGTAGGTGGTGCCTAGAATTATTAAGGATTTTTATAAGAGAGTTATTTGTTGAGGAGCATAAGAATTGGTAGGGACCGGTGTTGCTCTACCGTTGCCCAGACATGCTGTCTAGACCCTACACTCAAATAATTCTTAAGACAGTTGGTTATAGTTATTAGAGCTCACTCAATCAGCTGGTTTCATGGGCATTTATCAGCTGTATAGTGTACAAATTAACTTTGTATAAAATTATTCTCAGTTCATCCTTGCCCTCGTTTTCTCGATGTTGTCAGACTTGAATTCAATTATTAATGTTGAGTTGTTCTGAAATTGGTCTCCATTTCAAATTCCTGGAGTAGATTGTCTGTCCTCAAGAAAATCTTACACTCTTAATTGCTTGACTTATCTCTTCACTTGGTCATATATTTTGACCGTGAATCTTTGTCTTTAGATATCGAAATACTAAACTGGTGAGGCTGCACTCCAGAGGTTTAGGACCTATAAAGTTTCAGCCTGGTGGTGATAGCGCTATCGTTGGAGGTGTCAGTAACGGGTCGGCTCAAAAGAAGTGATCCCCCCCCTTTCCTTTTGTTTGAGTCCTGACATGCATCTGAGACAACCCCCCTCCCCTTCGCCATTTCTGCCACAGCCCTCTACCCCCTTTTCCCCCATGTCGTCGGTGGGGACTTGTAAGCAAGTCTACCTGGACAGCAGTATCTTACCCACAGTATCTTACTTTTGCGATGTCACAGTCATAGTTGGCTTACCAGTGGTTGACAAACTGTACAGTTGTCAGTACAATGATGGAAGGATAATTCACAGAGTGTTTAAAAATATCATGCAACAATCAAGCCCCTGAACAAAAAGTCCTACCACTAAACATTAAACAAAATACTTCTCATTAGTACATATTACGCGTACATCTCATTTCTGTTAACATAAAATTGAGGTCATGTGTTAACAAAGGTCTATATACTATATCAGTGCATACTATGTACATTAATTTCCCTTTTTCATAATTTCATTTCATTTTGGCTCTGATATGAGAGCAAAATACGTTTTTTTATCACTGCCAGTAGAGTTTGGCTTGACTCCCATTCCAACAAAATTAAATAAGTGAAACAAAGAAATAATGCAGGCAGTCATAAAATTCAACATCACTCACCTTAGGCAGTGCCAATGTGTTTCCCCTCATGTTACAAGTGGCACAATTTACCTTTAGTGCTACATATTGGCTGTTGCTACAGCATGAAAAATTGGTGAGCTACATGTGTGGTGAAGATGTATGCCTAGGATACTTTCCAAAGATAGCAAGTAACTAGATAGCACTACTGCAACAAGAATATTTTAGGTTGTAGAATAAAATGTTGCATGATCAACATTTTGATGGAAAATGGCAGGGCATGATATTTTCTGCATTTACCTATTATGTAGACTAAGGCTATGTCCCTAACAGGCTTCCAGAATTACAGCTACATCTATTGCCTGCTCATCCCTGCGTATTTCCATTCCCTTGAAAGTCAAAACAATATGTACTGAGCAATTGAAATGTTACATTTTTTTCCCGAACTGCTGATTGTTTTAACTTTTTAAATTCTGTGTGATATAGGTGAGTGACTTGATACCTCTGTTGGCTGCGTGCAAGCCAAGGTGTAGAACAGACACAGATTATTATCAACTGCACAGTCTCATTACCCTAGTTGAGCTAGCTGTGGGATATGACAAAGAGCTGTACAAGTCAGTGGATAAGGTGAGCAGACGGAACTACCAGTATGCCCAGTGGTTTAACCCAGTCTATATGTACCCTAAGAAAACATGCATTGTGGCATGCATGGCGTAGTAAACCTATAGCAAATGTAAATGAGGCACAGATTACAGTTGCCCACAAAGTGATTATTTGCACGTTCTGGTAATTTCGAGCCCAACATACTCTTGGTCTTTCCATATGATTATTTCAGAATGTAATGTGTGCACTTTGCATTATTTGTCATGTGCAAGTTTTCTTTGGTAATATGACATTCTCTAAATGACCTGAATATTTTGGATGATAACACAGGAAAACATATCCATCAAAAGTATACTTCATGTTGGTGGTGAATTTTTTTTTGTATGAGACTGGTTTGAATCTGTTGAGGTTCTACAGTGTTGACGTGTACATTTTGCCTTTGTTGTAATTAAAATGTCTAGTTTCAGTTTATCAGTTTCATGAAACATTAAATCTGCAAAAATGGATTATATTTGTATTGGGAAAGGAGTGGAAGTTCACCACCAGCAATGATGATATTTGTTTCAAGTATTGTCAATCAAGATCAAATTTTGTGAATGATTTAACACTGCTCTGCTAGATGTTTCATCCATTCAGATCTTTGATCCATTGTAGGTTGGTATTCATCTTGCTAAATTGTAAACTGTCATTTTAGGAAGCCTTGGCAAAGCTGGTGATCATGCTACGAGATATGGCAGGGGATATTCGAGACAGTCACAAACATCTGTGTCGCACACAGGTCAAAGATCTCATGATTCGCATCGCAAGTGAACTCACTTACCTTGAACAAACACTGACAAGCAAACAGGTGAGACTATTGGAATAGAACCTGGAAGTTTAAGTGATTCCCAGGAGTGTGCATCCAGAAGCAACATGCAAATATTCTTTTTGGTGTTAGTTTCTTGTTCGTTTATTTCTTAAGAAAAGTTTTCTTTGTAAAATGGTTGCGAGTACATTAATTTTTGGGAACTGTAAAATTACGGAACACTCTATAGAAATATCATGCCAAAAATTGACTTGGTGATTTGTAAAACTTGATGTACTTGTGGATAAGAATTTTATGAAATTATGTTGTGGCAGTCGGTAGAAACTGAAATAGAAACCAGAGAATTTTTTTTTTACTTAAAGGACTTATTAGCGCTCATATGAAAAGAATCTAAAGTAACCACTGATGAGAACTACACTCAGGCCAGTCAAACCAGATTTAGAACTTATCCACTGTGTCAGTGCATGAACAAGGAGACCTAGGAACAATAATGCCTAATGTGACAGGCTGTAAATGAATTTTTTTTAATCATCTCCAAGTGATGTTTCTTCAATTTTAATAGGCCTATGTACCGGAGACATCACTCTTTTTTTACATGTGCACTTTCCTATGGAGCCATTATATTATTAGGGGCCCGCAGTCCATTGAGCAGCATTGGAAAACACACACATAAACAAAGTGTGCTGTTGTCCGTACAGAGGTCTATTGAGGGACACAAAAATTACAACATGAACATTTCTTGGGTTGATTTCAGTTACATGTAGAAATCAATCTGTAACAAAATATGAAAGGGTATCCTAATGTAAATTCCCTATAGGCAGGCCATATAATCTGGAAGGTCACCATGGGGCTTTTTACTCGCAGATTCTAGGATCAGGTTTTTCCTGCTGTAAGTGCATTAAACATGGTGAACTAGACACAGGTGTTCAGTCTGTATATTAGTAGAACTTGATTTCTACTTAGGAGAACTTGACCAAAAACGTATTCAGGAAAATCAAACACATCAGGGAGTTTGAATTTTCTTCTTTTTATCAAGCTGCCATGATAGAACATTCACACTCACAGCCATTGCTGCTGTGGAATGGAATAGTTGACCCTCTTCCATTCAATATGCCATAGTTAAATGAGCAATTACAAAAACCAAATAAAATGTATTTTCCAAAAAGAAAGCGTTGTAGTCATATTACTTTTGTCCTGTCATGCAATGTTATAACAATTTTCAATTCCTGTTGAATTTTGTGTACAGATATTTATTACAGCGACATGTGATATGTGTTCAATTTACTGTATTATACTGGCTACACAAAGTGCTTGACATATTTTTTGATATACTTCCATGCAATCCAAATTGGTTGTTGTTGGGTATTAAAAACTGCACTGAAAAATTCTGCTCTCATTTAATGCGGCGGGGGGGGGGGTTGGTTAGGTAATGCATACAGGTGTATTTGATGCACATACAATGGAAGACTATGTATGCATCATTGAGCTAAGTTTAATTTTTGATTGGATATCGCACATATCAAGTACCCTTAATGCTGAAAAAGGGAATAAGACAGCTTCATGCAAATTTGGCAAAAAAGAAGCATACTAGAAATCAAATACGGTTGTATCAAGACTTCTGCACCTACCCTGTTCATTCACTGTTAATATCCATTTCAGTATGATTTTACATACACCCTAGGAGGTTAGGGATAATTGTAATGATGTGTCCAGGCCTTTGTCTGGTGGCAGACCGACCAAAATATAGTTGGAGTGCAGCTGAGCCAATTTAATCATGACTGGTGATTAACTAGTAGTTTGTTTTGGACTTGTCTTGTTCTGTCTCATGTACTGAAGCTCAAACATGCCTATTTAAATTGTGATGTTTGACTTGCCTTGCACCCATAAGTTTATACTGAAGTAACAAACTGAAATTATGGTCAAAACATCATCATTCCATCTATGCCCCTGGTTCCGTGCTGTTCTTTCTGATGTTGTTGACTACCAGCAATGTGAAGAACATCAGAATGTTTGATTTTAAAATCTGTTTCACATTTATCCCACCAGGCCTTTCTCCATACCTTTATGACGGTTGAGCAAAGTGAAACTAAAGCGACTGACAATGAGGCTAGTTGCCACAGAAATATCGACACCAAAGATACTTGCCATACAAATTATTCTACTGTACAAGATGTCTCAGAATGGTGATACATGTATTATGCCACATGTTTATGACATGTTAAATTTGTAATATATGCACTATAATAAAGTTACAAGTTTGATGGAATTGTAGTGGGATGACACAGCAAAAATCTATCATTCATCGTCAAACCATTTTTTCTAATAAAATGAAAAGGCCAGAACTTTAGAAACATTGCTGGAGTACCTTTCGTGGAGATGAAAACTCTTTTGCCCCCATAGTCTAAAAACTTGGATATTCCACTGCCAACCTTACAAATTGTGAGGGGAAAAACACCTAAATTTGGCACAGAGTTTAGAATAGTAAGTGCGCAATTCTTGGAAATGCATTATATAAAAATAAATATACCCCAAGCTAGTGGTGAATTGGTAAATTTTCATTTTGTTCAATGGTTTTATACCACTTGTATATGTTTTACGTAATAATGAGAAAGTGTTGTTCGCTTTTTATGGCCAGATCTTTAATTAACCATGTAAGTTTTTAAAGTCTGGGATTTTCATGACAGGTTTTTACGTAAACAAATACTGAACCTTTTTAATTCATGCTGTCACTGTTTAAAATGGGTAATGCAAAAAGTTCATCTAATTTAGTTGGGGTTGGCTGTAAATGAATGTTTTAGTGTTGGTTTCAGTGAATATTTATACAATGGAATGTTTCATAATTAAGCATCCAAATCTATCAACTGCTCCTCAGGTTTATTCACAGAAAACAAACTTTGAACCACCAAACATTGAAATAAGTCTAGTTAGTACTAAAATTGTCAAAATGTAAAATTATACAAAAAATAAGGAAAAAAAGTGTGTATATAAAGAGGCTTGCAGCAGTGTTTACTCAGATTAGGTTGGTTTAAGTGGAAGGTGGTGGATAGAATGCGTAACAGTGCTGTGTATATCAGGTTGTGCAAGCGAATTGTCTCTGTTGTCACAAAGACACAAAAATCTCACCTTAGGGTAAAACCTACATTTTGATCAATTTGCATTTGACGTTGGTCTCTTTTTCAAACACTTAAATGTAGTTTCCTAGTATTTAGCATTCCTTTGATTTCACCAATGGAACTCCACGGAAGAGAGGGTCTTAAATGACACAAAACGGCAAAATAAGAGTTAGGCCTAGTAGAAGTCAATTAAAATTGTTTATTTTGTAAATAAACATGTTTTTCTCTAGTGAGAATGGTCAAACTTGTGTGACTCTGTTTCTTCCTAAAACTCTTTTTGCCATAGTGCATGCTAGATGCAAAATTGTTACATTTGTATACATTTCCGGCCTCAAATTTGTCGCTTCTGAAAAACAGCAAAGCAAATTTTGTTTTTAACACTGTATCTATGGACAAAAAAATTTGCCTCTTCGTGAAAAAGCCTGCTTGATTTTGAAAAAAAAAAGAATTAGAAAAAATCATGATTGGGGCCAATTTTTCTTTTCATGTATAAGACAGGTGTATTAACCAGATGAAACTTTGTTTCATGGTCTTTCCTGTCATGATTAATTTGAAAAGCTAACCATACCCAAACTAGGCACAAGTCATCCGTTCGCAATCAAAGTTACAAGCTATTCAGACAGTGGCATTAGAAAGTTTCCAATTGAAACTACTGACTGTATCTGTGATTGACCAGATTAGAACTGGAACACGTCTCTGTTTTCTGTATTCCCCATCCATGTTGCAACAATTTAACATTTAATTCTTGTTTTGTATCAGACCTACCAGAAGACCCATATGTTCTCACATGTACAAATTCCAATTACTACAATGACAGAAAACAAAAATCTGGTTACATGTTGTGCTGATCAATGGAGTTGTATATCGTTGTTTCATATTTATTTACAAACTTGTAAATGTTGGTTTGTGATCAATGTTTGCTTTATTTTTTGCCAAAAAAGATTTTGATTTTGAACTTTTTGTAACAGGCTACAGCAGCTTCTGTCAGTATGCCAGAATTGTGCTTATTGGATTTATTGGGTGTATCTCTTAGCAATAAAAACAGGGTTCTTAAAAATTACGATTAAAAAAAATTGAAAGCAGATTTCTTTTTTATTAAATCGATTTTTATTTAAATCGATCCTTGTGTGAGTTGTCCAGAAGACTGTTGGTATGAATAAACTGTTTATGCAAATTTCAATTAGGATAAAACATTTGTACTTACTAACACATGTATATGCCTTGTGTAACAATTACAGAGACTTCACTGAATAAGTATAAATCTTTGGTGTTCCAATTTTGATGGTATATGGCAACACTGCTAAATGCATGTAAATGGAATGGCTATTCCATAAGCAGGTTTTCTCAACTGAAAAACTCAAATGATTTTCTATCATATCGTTCTAACCATCCATAAGCAAAGTGGTAATACGCATTCAAAATTTCAAATTATGACCTGCTGCAAACAAAACTGTCTTCATTTTCCTTTATGGTGAAAAGTAAAGATAAGTGAAGATAAATATAAATGTGTAGATGTTTTAAAGGCATCAGTATATTAAATTTAGCCATTTCTTCCTTTCAAATACCCAAAAGAAAAGGTTTCTTTAACATGAATGTTTTCAAATGATTTTTGAGCGATTTAAGTCATGATTTAAGGCAACGATGTAAATCGATTGATTTCAATCAAACTTTGCATGGAAACATGTAGCATTTGTTCACACAGATGTGATCAATCGCTTTGGGTGTGTACACTTTGTATACATGTACATATTGATGATGATCTTTGATGCCACCCCCAAAGTCAGTGATCAAGACACCTGGCTTATCAGCATCTGTTAACTCTTATACATTTTATTTAAAACTTCGTAAGCTTGATGTTGTCATGTAAACAGAGAAAAATAAAGACTGGGTTTGACATAATTGACTGTTTTTGCTTATTTTGACTTAGTCAAGAGATGCACATGTAGCATCTTATTTACTATACAGGTGCAGAAACCAGATGGGGGTTTGGGTCATTGCCCCCCCCCCATTCATTGCTAATATTTTTTTGGGGGGGCTTACACATGTAATGGTTTGAAGATCTAATACATGTATATGTATGCATAAACCATATAAGGGTCTTATTTTGTGTGCACTGTCAAGGACAAACAGATCCAATGGCTTCACAAATGGTGACTACATGTAGTAACCCCCCCCCCAAAAAAATCATGGATCCACCCCTATAACAAGTTCTTGTTTTATTTCATAAAGTACTTCGACAAATTTTTTGGGGGGGATGGGAAAAATTCTGAGGAGTTCCCAAAGATCTTTAGTTTTATTCTGCAGCTTTTATTTAATCATTATTTAATAAGAAAATATTAGCAACTCAATTTAAGCAATGCCTTTTATTCTTTATTTCATAGCATATACCAAACATTAGCATTTTAATTGATTTTAGATTTGGTGTTATAGTTTAACAGGTTTGGATAAAAAAGCGCATTTTTGTTAGTTTGAAAATACACCTTTAACTAATTCCTGATTCTTTAATACCTTATGTTTGTAACGACCGACCACATTACATATCAAGCGTAACAGACTAACAATTTACCATTTATATAACAATTTGTATGTTGGCAGTAACAGTGCAAAGCTATTGTTGGAATTCCTTCGTTTGATTTCTTAACGGTCAGCTACTTTCTTTTGTCATGTGGAGGTTCAATTTAATATTTCTTTACATCAATTTTATCCCACTAAGATCCAATTTGATTTTTTTAAATCGATTTTTGTTTTTAAATACTTTGTACGATAAATCTGTTGCTTTTATATGCTGGAGATACATGGTTTCTCACCCAAAACACCTTGAGCGACAAGCCTGCACACAGTCTCTAGCGTCTCTAGAATCTCATCGTGGATGTCATAAGAGGCTTAACTTGGGGGGGGGGTGGTTGCGGAAATAAATTCATGATCCCCTGAAGTTTGCACGAAGAATACAGTTGCATATACCACCAGGGCTACCCCCAGACTCATAGCTGGAGTTTTGTCTTGATTAAACCATGGTCTGGAGGTGGTGAAACTAAATGACCAAGCATGACCAAGTGCCCCTGTAAGCTTGACCCTACTACGCTGACACGCGGCTCCTGTAAAACGGCTGAGTACATTTGCACTTCCATCTTCCATGGAGCGATTCAAAGGTCCAAAATGCGTACTGTGGCTGCTAATAAATGGCAGCATCTGAAGTCGGAATTTTTGGCAATTAACCATAGGGCTGGGTTATTCTTTCCACCAAACACAATTTGTCTTCCGCTTTGGGTTACCGGTTAATGCACCTAAACCATGGACGAAGGGTAAGGCGCCGTTGGCATTCAAATGCACTGCGCGATGTACGTTACACTAACGCATGCAGTAGTACCAACATGACCAACGACCACATTTGACGTGAACGTGTGTACATGTACTGTACGTGTAGCTCTGTGTGCGTGTAATGCAATGCTGCAACGTACATGCATGCAGAATGGATTAGGCCTACATGCAGGTCCTAGTATCACTGTTGTTCTGTCAGGGTGTAAGTTGACGTGCATATTGCCACGGTTAGCATAATGGCGGCCGGGCAAGAGAAGCATAGCCTGAAATCCGGTACAATGATTGCAGTAGAAGTTGAACAAGCGGTGAATAATGTGCTCATGGTTTGCTTTAGAAGTGGAGGAAAGGTATATCGCGGAGCGTTGATCGATACTCAAATTGGGTAAGGGTCATTTCGTCCTGCAAGGCCATGCTCTGACTCTTCAGGACCGAAGTCTGACATCAGCTTTACTTTAACTTCAGTTGAGTAGGGAGGAACCTGGCCTCCATGTTAGCAATCTTGAATAACTGAAAACGATGAAAATGTCAATTATTGTATTTACAACCCTCGATATGTATTGCTTTAATGTGCCAGGGGTCCCTTGAGTGAGTGTGACATCCGTTGTCACACGATTTAACTATTCAAACGACTTGCAGATGTGTGCCAAAGCCAATGTTTTTGAACATGGTAGTAATGCAAAGGGAGTTAGTGAGTCAGTGGGCAGTATGACTGGTGCTGCAGTTTTGAACAAATTATGTCTACTGACAAGACTGACTCAACGAGTCAACATGCTCATGTCTGATTATATGTATTGGGTGTTCTAGGTGATTTGGGTGCAATGGCATGAACCAGTCAACTGGGATCTGTATGATGAATATCCCATGTCTGGTGCCACAACAGTGAAGTACAATGTTTGATTCATGATTCTGGGAAATTATTTTTGAATCAGAAAGTAAAGTAAGATGAAGATTAGGATTGTCATATACACATATATATATGTTACTGGAAAGATTTTGGCATTTGATTAAAAAGGGGTGCATTATTGTAAGTACATGTAGGCTAGATTAATATGAAATTCCACTTTGGGAAGAGTTCCATACAGATATCACTTATCTTCCCTTGCAGTTGTTTATTACTTAGCCATCAGAAATTGATAACGTGTCCTCACATGCCAAATTTAACACTGACAATGTTGAACCAATTTCTTCAAAAACACCATTTTCAGACTAGTCTCACAGGGTTGTGTACAGGGTATCAAGTTATGTCAAAATATGGAACTCTTCCACTTTCACTTTTTGTACTCACTTCTTTTGTAGGTGACATTGACACTAAAGAGGCCAGGGTGTTGATTTTTAGATAAATTATGGGGTGAAACGAGGGCAACCATTTAGCCATTAATACACACACTGCACAGCACATCAAAACTAACTTAGGATCAACGAAACTGGTTTGGTAGACTTGCTGGCTATTTGGAAAGTCAATCTGTGATTTCTCCAAAGCTTCATTTTCTGTAAGAGCAAGCTTGCCACGTGCAACAGCTTGACAGTAGTGCAGTGCACTATGGATATACATACTTGTACATGTGTCCTGGCGAGCTCCATGCCTAGGGAACAAATTCTTTTGTGAAAACAATAAGGACAAAGGCCTACATGTACATGTAGTTGTAGAGACAAACATTTTTGCCATAACAAATTTGCCCCACAAGAATTATCGTTCAAGACCTACATGTAGTACTGTGCAATCCCTCACCTATGGCGCAAGTACTGTATGTATTGGTAGAACCTACGGCGTATAGCATGTGTAGTGAAGTTTTTCATTGTCGGGTAACTTGGGACTGAGTAAGGTGGATTTTCTGGATCCTCACAAAATAGATACATGTACATTTACTGATGAACAAGTATGAAACTATAGAACAAGTATGCTTGAGACAGTGTGGTGTGTGTCGCTTTGGGAATGTACATGTTAATAAGTAAAATGTTAGAAAAAGGGTCTATATAATTAGGGAAATCTTATGGTACATGTACATTGTATGTAGCAACTGTTTGGTGGGTGTGTTAGAATCGCTTTTTTTAGAATAAAACAATGGGGTGTTAACTTCTTTTAAAAATGTGAAGTTGCTAATGTCTTTTCATTATGCCAGGAAACAAAAGCAGGTTATAATAAGGAAGAACCAGTACATGTACTCACACATAACAAATGACTCAAATGATGCTAATGCATGCAAGACTGTTTGGAAAAGATTAAAAGTTCATCATAGTGCAGAATAACTACCGTACATAATATTGGATGGCTTTGAAGGGAAGAGCTACATGTACATGAACGTCATTATAACAATATTGCACTAGTTGAAGATGAGTACAGTATCGTTATACTGACTACAACAATACTTACAAAAATCCTTTTCGTTCCCAGCGGGACATACATGTAAGGCATGAACGATCTCCCTTCAACTGTTTTGGACAGTGTGTTGTGCTTCATCCCATGTCAAACCCATCTGTGTAAGGTCTGCCATCAATGTACGCCGCCATGTTGTTTTTGGCTGGCCCTGCTTCCTCTTCCTAGATGGCGTCTATCGACAAAGTCAAGTGGGTCACAATCCACTGTACCTTGGGCATACGGGGTGTTACTGATGCATATAACCTCAGTCTCGGAGGCATTGATGTTCAAGCCTACCTGATTGGCGAGCTTGCTCAACCTGTAGCTTTTCTCCTGAAGATGGCTCATTTTCATGGAGAGGGCAGTAACGTCATCAGCAAAGTCGAGATCTTCAAGCAGGGAAAAGAGAGTCCACTGCTTCCTCTGGGTGTGTAAGCTGTTGTCCTGCGCATGATCCAGTTGATGGTGACTAGAAATAGGACAGTGAAACATTCTGGAAGGCTTGCCATGCATGATGACACAGCACTAGAACTAAAACAACTTCATCAGTGTAACCATCCTTGGAGGCACACCATATGACCGCATGATCTTCCATAAGCTGTTGCAGTGTATGCTGTTGAAGGCTTTTTGAAAGTCAATGAAATTGATGTACAATATATAAAGGGGTGTTCCACTCAATGCACTGCTCTGTGATGTTACAAAGAGCAAAAATCTGATCTGTGCATCCTTGTCCCTCTCTGAAACCTGCCTGTTCCTACCTCCGCATAATGGCAATAGTTACATCAATTCTGCCAAGAACCCTGCAGAAAACTTTAGTTGGAATTGAAAAGCAGTGTGATGCCTTGCCAGTTGTCATGTTGTCACAGTTCTGGAGGTTGCCTTTCTTGGGATCTTGACAATGAGATCTTTTTACCAGTCGTCCGTTATTACTGGCAGGTTTTTCTCCCAGATGTTCCTCAAGAGGTCTGTAAGCACCTTCGAAGAAATACTAAGATCAGCTTTCAGCATATCAGTATTGATGGAATCAATGCCGACAGTTTTTCTGCTCTTCATAACTTTGATGGCAAGCTTGACTTCAAATAGTTTGGGGACTGACATCAATATCATTGACATCATCAGCTAGTGGGGGATTGGCGGGATCATGTGGTTCAGGCTGGTTGAGTACCTCACAGAAGTGCTTTACCCATCTCGCCTCTTGTTTGTGTTCTGTTGTGAGATTGTTGTCATCCTTGTCCTGGATGGGCAGACTGGCTGGTACTCTTGCTGCAAAGCTGTTTTGTGATCTGAAAGTACAGTACTCATCTGACCTCTAGCAGCAGCACTCTCAGCTTCTCCCGCCAATGCTTAACAAAGGCCATCTTGTCTTTCCTGGCACTCTTTTTAACCTCCCTATCCTTAGTTTTGTAGGCTGTTTGAACCTCAAACACCTTGGAGTGACCTGCGCCACTTTCCATTGATCAAGATGTGATCAATCTGGTCAACTGTAGAACCATCAGGAAACTTCCAGGTGAGCTTATGGATGTTTTTGGGTGAAAAATAATACTGCTGGTGACACATTTGTTTTCCAAGCAAAAGTCGATCAGACACTCACCATTGTTGTTTATCATGCCTCAGCCATGTTTTCCCGTTGTTGGCATTATCAGCTCCAACCTTGGCATTCAGATCATCCATTATCAGTAGCAGGTCATGCTGAAGGACTTCAGAGACAACATCAGCTTCATTAGTTGGTGCATTGCAGTGATTTGTGTTGAAGCATGCTCTGATCAGCCTGTCACTTAACTGTTCCCATTCCAACAAAGTGTTGACCTTTTCCTTGGAAACTATAAGGGTCATGCCAAGTATGTGCTGAGTGTTATGGCCAGAGTGTAGAATGGGTGAGCTGTTGCTTGTCACTTGTCATACAGAGCGTATCCACTGAGATTTGCTTATCGCCAGCAGGTCCAATCTGTATACATCTTTTCATCTCACTAATGACGTGAACTGTTGTTTTTTTGTTCCGTACATGGTGCAGACATTCCAAACTCCCAGTGGGACACAGGTTTTGGGTCCAAGTAGGCTGTCTGTCTCCTAAAGGAGGCTTTCATCCGAAGTAGTCATGCTGCCAGCTTTCTGGCTCGAGTCCATTGTTAGGCCCGTGATTCTTTCATTCGTTGTTGTTTTCATATCAACACTTGTATATCTTTTGGTCAGGTGAGTCTCACGCCCAATCCCCAACCTGGAGGACCAGGTGCTGCTTTTTGTCTGGCCTCTACCCTGTGACATGGCCGACTTGGTTGGACCTACCAGTAGCTAATGCCCCCATTGGTATAGGTCATAGGGGTCTCTGAGATGCACAAGCCTTCTCACCACAACAATGTAGCAGCACAAGAGGAGGGACTGCAACAATGCCTGAATAAATCCCAGTCATCAGATTGGTGAATTGTTCATCATGTGACATGAATTAGATGTATTTCATGCCCTGTAGACTTATCTTCAAGCAAACTGGAATTCTCAATTCTGATTGGTGAATCCATGGCAACAAACAGTTTTAATATACATGTGTAACTGTGTTGCAGGGTTTATATCAAACCCTGTATAATGCACTGTTCTATTTTTACGCTAATATCGAAACACATAACTGAAAAATTA